ACGATTCGTTACAATTATATTTTATATTTTTATGTTACCAGAAATAGCATACTATTACGTATTAGTGATACATGAAGATAACTTGTATTTTACAACAAAAAGGCTCAGTGCACAGAAGAATATTATGCAAAACGAAGGAAGTATAGGTTTATATCGTGAAAAGAAAAGAATAAAACATTGCTAATAAGACGAATTGATGTTCAGAACTTTAAACGACAATATCTCGAGAGTGAAACTATGTGACATGCGGCGTTTTTCCTGAGAACCACAGATATATACACTCGACTTCGAACAGCTTTTCGTCGTCGACTGTTCACTGGTGTCCAGTTTCGAGGCTTCTGGATAAAACTTATTAGACCGGCGGTGAAACGGGAGTTCGACACAATTTTGTTCGAATAACGTTTGGCTTGCTCGGAAAGTTCGTGGCGCTTTTAAAAGGAAGAACTACGGGTTTATGGTCCTCGGTTCGCGTGTTGATTTTATTTTTCACTTGTTTTCACAGCCTCTTCGTAGTCTTTCGAATGATATCGTTGTATTTAAATTTCTCCCCCACTTTGACTGAGGAACTCTTTAACATATTTTATGTATCACATTTTTCACTATTTTTTTTTTCTTCGTATGAATTGTTTGCACGGTTCGTACAATTCACTTTTGGTAACATTTAATACTTGTGTGCCCTTTGAATGGGTATTCGTGACTGACGTAGGTACGAAAAATGTACAGAATTATAAACATTCCAGGTACACGAACGCCGACCGACCATTTTCCGCTGACCTAATATATACAGTTACCTGAAAATACTCTAATAACCGTGTTTATTTACCTTTGCACCGTCTCTTTGAAATGAATGTGTGACGAACAAAAAATCATTTCACCCCGTAACAGAGTTTATAGTCAACAGAAACGAGGAACACATTTTATTTGATATGCACGATTGTTTATGTAATAACAATACGAGAGTATATCTGTTCGTGGAGTAACGGAACTAATATTTATTTATCATTCCATAATAAATATATACAGTATAAAACTAAATAATTCAATAGCACATGCGGCTTAAGCTCAACCGAAGTATAACCCGAAACAGGGAAGAATAATTTGTTACATTATTGTATATTTAAATTACGTCGAAATGAATGGACCCCGTATACTTAACAGTACTTTATTGTTGATATTATTACACGTTATTATAAATCTATCATCTTGACACGTATAATACTTACTAAATCTACAGAGACAAGTTTAACGGTTAAACCTATAACTAAACATACAATATGGCATCGGTACTTATTTGGTAAAGGAACAAACAGACGTATCGCATGATTTTTCCTCGCAATACCTTAACACGATATCTGAGACTGGTATGCTGTTAGTAAAATATTCATCGTTCAAACAATATTGTAGACGTGCGACTTTCCTTTTTCTCTAACCTGGCTCTCTATCGTACCGTTCCCTTTTTCGCGCGAGAATAAAAAAGAAACAACAGAGATCATTGGAAAATCACTAAAAACATTTCTTATTCCTCACAGTACACTAAACATCGTATTAATTTCTACTGATCCAGATCGCCCAGCTGTGAATATTCTCGAGTATAAAAAAATGATATCGATTAACACTAGTGTGGTAGATCTTGTGTAAAATTAATTTGTACCCAAACGTCGACATCTTGCTACCTCTTTTAAGATGGCAAAGACAGCAAATTATCGGTGCCATGAGAAAGTTGTTCTATGAAGGAAATTTAATGTCCACGCGACTATGTGGACATCATACGTTAAAATCCCGATTTGTCATCGAGCAACCTATATACTCGTTCGTTAGGACAATAATTTTCGTTATCGTGACGAACGTTGTTCACGTCATCTAGCACACGAGCCTCGTAATCAGTTTTGCATAAATGTTGACGATAACGGAAATAACACGGGATTCGCAGCTCGCCTTGAGCACGCCGCGGAATGAAAAAAAGAAACGGTTTTCCAATGTTAATAGTGCTTAACGGTAAGCCTGGCGCGCACGTGGATATGTACAATGTTCCTGAACAGATTGCGGAAACGTTTATTGCTTCTTAATAAATTAAGCAGAACAGACAAATGTTTCTGGTACGCTTCATAACGTTGCGAACCGTTACGAAACAATGTTCTTGAGTGCGTATTGTACTTTATGATTTTAATTAATGTCGAATTGAAGTTGCATTAATCCTCGTGCACCATTTGACTAGAAACGAAAGTTCAACTGTTAACAATTTTCAAAATCATAGAAATTTATAAATAAATTGTATTTAAATAGACATCGTGATTATAGATGATTTAAAATTAATTTCGAATTTATTTTAATTCAAAAAATTAATGGAAATCTAACAATCATGTGAACGGTACACGAGGATTGGTAGGAATAATATTAGCAGTACCAATGAGCAATCCACCATTTATTACCAAATTCAGTGCTACTTTTTACAAGAAATCAATACGGCCAATAATCAGAACGGCCAATTTCATTAAATTCAATGGCGGGAAAACATATTGAAATTCAAACTATATAAAGATTATTCATTGGTATCTCTAATAGACCGTTTATTTCCCATAATATTCATAATAATCGATGTAATTTCTTTTCGTAAATGGATAAATGAAACGGAAGTAATTGTTTTTGTAGACTTTTTTGTCTCCCTTAATTGAAAAAAGGCAATACGGATTCGACTGAATCGTTGCGCTATCATGCCTCATGTACCTTATCTCGCAATTGTCATCCTATATCGAGGAAAATTCACTAGGCAGCCCCGCGTGTGTCTACGTGAAATACTCGTCATGGATGCGTATCGTCGAGGGGATTAATTGCAAATTATTCCATTCTCTTTTCCCGTGAATTTCTGTGCGCGCGTTTCGATACGACGGGCGCCGTTGCGCCGACATTAAAAACCGTCGACGAGCTTCGACGAGCCGCGATTTCGTCTTTTTTTTTTCACAATGCGATTGTATAGAATCGTTCGAATTTTTGGGACACCGGAGGGACTTCTTTTGTTCGGGGGGGGGGGGTCGCGTTAATATTCGCTGATCGATTCGAAAAGAAAGATCAAGAGAAAGGTAATGTTCAGTTAGAACAAAAGACTTCCAGCGATTGAACGTTCTTGTGAACCGTTGGAAATATTTCTACGTGAAAGCTTTTTGGTCAAAAAATGTCTTCAATGAATCGTGAAATCGTGTAAATTATTTCTTCTTGTTATTGCAGCTTATTCGATCGTTCTTTTAGAATGGTAAAACGATCTCCATAAGATTTCTATAAATCGAATAGGGAAATGAATGAGAAAAAGTAATATTGCAACGTCTATAAATGAATAAACCTTGAATATCCACCGAATTTTATGAATCGTTCCGTATATTTTTAAACAAATAATCTGTTACGAATAATCTCTCGAACTAAATAATTGTATAATTTATTATTTATTCATTGTTTTTGCATAGAGCAATAGATAACCTTAGAATTGCTATTTCACACACTGCTCAAGGTACAGGGTGATTAAAAAATTATTTTAATATTCATTTTTATGTGAAATTATCAGAATTGTTCAATTATTTTTAATTATCCTGTATGTTAAAATTGTTACGTTAAGGAAGACAAACGTAACACCGTTTCATCAATTTATTACCTTAATGTCGTCATCGAATATATCTGGTTTACACAGCTCAAGGAATTCATTAAGTACTAGACGCATTACCGAACGACGAATATCTTCCGGAACACCGGACGCGTTAACTATTCTGAGCATTGTATTAACTCAATTTCTCCTTATCGATTGCTCCAAATTTTGCTCGCAACACGAGCATCCTCTCTTACCAAGGTACACTTCCATTACCGATGAGACAGTTTATACAATTAATTTATTGCGGCCTACAGAAACTCTCCTTCATTGCACGAAGACAAATCATAATTAAAAAACAAAATAAATTTTTTTACATGAAACGCATTTGATATGTTCTTCCCGAACATTCTGACGAAATGTCATCGATCGAAATAACAAATTGTTTGTCTTACAACTCGCTCCCTATATACACTAAAAATGTCTACTTGATCAAAAAAAAAAAACACACCACGACTCGAGTTTTACATTAAAATCCTTCGAAAAGGTTCATCCACTCTCTCATTCTCATACATTCCCACGTAAACGATAGAATACTGAGCAAAGATTTGTTCGGGGGTGGGGGTGGCGGGCGGGTATGTGTATTTACAGTGCCGATATTAATCGATCGTTTACAAAAACCGAGCCGACGCGATGCAGCTATTTCCGTCCACCAAGAACAAAGCACCGAAATCAAGAAAAACGGATAAACAGGGCAAATATGAAAAATCGGCTCGTAATGAATCTTTAAGGGATATTACATAGTCACTAAGAATCGTTCGATACGAGCGGTGGGGCGCGCCATTCTCTGTATATTAAACAAATCCACTACACTATTGCACTACACTTCTTTTTTTTTTATACAATTATTCAATTCTATCGGCGTCTTTTTTTACACAAAGCGTACGTATGGGTGAGTGTTTACTTCCGGGCGAAGTCCGTGCTTGGACTCCTCTTTGGTATCGTGTCGCCTACGATCGACCTCACTTCCTTTCGTGTCACTAGTTGAAGATTCGTTTTTAGTCGAATACATCGGAACAGTTCAGTGGACAGTTGATAATCCACAGTCTGGGGGTTTCGACAGTGCAAAGAGACTGGCAGAGGTAGGAGAACCATTCGTCGTCTGAAGGTTCAATTCAGAGTTTCGAAGTTCTTCGGTTGTCTTGCATACTTTCACGTCGTACCATCTTTCTATTACCCATCATCGTTATTGAAAAGCTGAACAAGTATGTCTCAAACAATTACTGTCCTCTACGACATACTCGAACAGTCAAACACGATCGTCTACTCCTTTAGACATAGGACAGTACCCAAGCCAAATCCTCTACCTTAAACACAACCACGTCTACAACTGCTATCCTCGAACCGCATTACCAATGATCCCCCCCATAATGGAAAAACAGTTCTCAGTACACAGAGGTCCCCAGTATATCTCCTAACCCCTAGAACCAAAAGCCCTAAAACTGGAACAAAATCTCTGGATCCCCTAAACCAGGGGTGAGAACGCGGACGCCTGACTCCTGATCTCCCTGTGCTCCGTCGGGCTGAGATCCAACAGTCCGCCGCAGTTCTGATCGTTCGCCGCCTGTTTCCCGATCAGAGCATCGATACTGAAGTTCCTCTTCTTGTCAACTGGCGGATGACTCGTTGGTATCGTCGTGGCCCTTGTGGGCGTCGGGTCGATCTGTCTGATGGGTGGTGCGGTGATTGGTACCGGTTTGTACAACGGAGGCGGCGGTTCCAGAAAACCTCCAAGTTTCAGAGCCTCCAGAGTCGACGGGGAGAAGTCCAGCAAGGGTAAACCAGGTGGTGGCGACAGATACGCCGCGCTGGGATAGCTCAGAGCACCAGGATGACCGCCGCCGCCTGGGCAAGGTCCTCGATCCCCACAGATAGCGAAAGTGGCCATGATCGCTCTGTCGCGAAGAACATAATGAGGCGGAGGCCTCTTGTACCTCTTCCTGCGTCGTAAAAAGCTACCGTTATCAAACATATCCTCGGCCAATGGGTCAAGGGTCCAGTAGTTTCCTTTACCAGGATTGCCCGGTTCCCGTGGGATCTTGATGAAGCAATCGTTCAGGGACAGATTGTGTCGAATCGAGTTCTGCCAGGCGGGGAATTTGTCGTGGTAATAGGGGAACCGGGACATGATAAACTCGCAGATACCGCTCAGCGTGAGCTTCTTCTGCGGCGATTGGAGAATCGCCATCGTGATCAACGCTATGTACGAGTACGGTGGTTTGATCAGGGACGAGGACATTTTGTCGTTCCCGTATGCGGACGTCTGACCCGACGAGCTGGTCGTCTTCTGTTGCCCCGTCGCCGACATCATCGAGTAGTTCTTCTTGCTACGACTCCCGCCGCGGTTTCTCGAGGAGGTTGTCGCGGGTATCGGGGAGCTCGGTATTATCGGACTCGACGACGACTGGGAAGGTGACGTATCGTTCTTGTCGAGACTCACCGGGTCCACGATCATGCTGCTATTGTCCGAGTCGCTATCGCTGTCCGCGCAGCCGTCGCATGACAGGTTCGACATCATCATCCCGCGCGATTCCATCGTGATCGCTTCATGGGCCCATACGCCGGCCATGTAACGGGTGGACACTAATGTTCCAGGTCCTTGGACACCTCTTTCGAATCACCACTAACTGTCATATTTATTATCTTTTGTGTATCACGTGTATCAATTCTTCGACATTCGTAACTCTGCGAAACCTTGCTGTTTTACTCGTTGAATATTACAACGTAACGTGGACCGAATACTCTACGTCATCAAGATCAAATACCGCGGAAGTCCACGCGAAATCGGCCGCGTATATTGTATCACGAACGCTCCACCGACGGCATATTTCACCGGAGCAACTGTCACGGCACCAGTCCCCGACCAGAATGCTATCTTACGTTAATAGTTTGTTTCCACAACGATAACGGGCGAATTTTTACTCGACGCGGGACCTCAGTCGTCCGTTCTCGTTCCGGAGAGGCAAAACCCGTCACGTCGCGTCTCAAGGATGTCGGTCGCGATCACTGACAGAGTGACACGCTCCGGGGCTTTGTCGTCGCCAGTCATCTTCTGGGATCCTCAAGGATCATCGTGATTCTCGTTCATGCTCTCTTATCGATCAGCCGTGTGAGTACTACCGCACCGATGTACTTGATTATCAATGGGTTACGTTTCTTCTCGAATTCCGTTGACTTGTCCTTGACCTTAACTCGAGTCGAACATCTTTGGATCCTCTTCCACCGGAGCTCACCTCACGTAGTCACTCTTGCACCCAGTTTATTCACAATTAAATTAACGTAGAATTGGATTATATCATGTAGTTTATTGTTAAGTGAACACACTCGGTTAATTGTGGTTCGACAGTCGACCGTCCGTAACTTTTTGAACTATGATCACGTGAAACCGCGTCCCCCCTGAGAGGTTAGACGCACGAAATGCGGTCGAAGCTTATGAAGCGCGGTCTGCGAGTGTGCCAGCACCGTGGAGGATCGTCTACGAGGCGAAATCGTGGGTCGAATTGATTCGAAGTGACTGCTTTTCGTCCCTACATGGGCGGACCAATGGGCGGGCATTTCAACCCCTACCGAAGGGGTGGCAGGGGTATATCCCCCACTGTTCGAGCTATCACCCCCTCCCTCCCACCCCCCCCAACCTCGACTGGTAGCTACGGCTCCCTCTCCATCCTCCTTCAGGAGAAGAGGAATCGTTGTCGTCACCACCAACGAGGAGAGAAACCCCCGGAGGGGACGTCGGAGTTAGGAAAATAGCGGGATAGATAAAGGGACTTTCGAGTCGGGCATGGGGAATGGGGGGGAAAGGAGGGGGCGAAATTGTAACACTCCGGGGGCTGCTTTGCTTTGAGCGGCACGGTAAAGGGACCAGGCGTTACGTACTAACAGAACGTATGAACTGAGGCCGTATCGATAATCGTTCTGGAATATACTGGGCTACGGATTTTCGTTTCGCGGGATTGTTGTCGTTCCTATCCAGGCGAGGTTTCACTCCTGCTTCGGAGGGAGATTAGATTGTTATTGTTACGTGATTCTATAAAATGTTTAAATTTTGTTATACAACTAGTTGGTTTCTATTCTCATGTAAGAAAATATCAAAGTAAACAAGCATATCTTTAAGTAACTATTAAATAAAAATGAAATATTCTAAACATATCCATGGGGTTCCTCAAACCTCACCTTACCAATTAATGGTTAACGCTGATTTTATTACATAGTGAAAAGCAGCACTATCCAGGATTGTCATCTTGATCTTTAAACAATTAGTGAGGTGAAATAATTGTTTGCGAAGTATCGAAGTAATCTACTCATTCAAGAGGAAATATTATTGCATTATAAAAATTTGAATTTCCTCGTGTAATAAATTTAAAATGCCAAAGTACTCTTTTAATCTTTAATTCGTTATTCGAAATTCTCGATTAACGAATTATAAAGAGATGTTTTGGTAATGTAATGCAGTATCTTTTTACACATTATACAAACGCTTAACTGAAACTTTTTAAATTAAAACCTATTCTCTTGACTCTAATAGAAGCTACTTTTCCAATCGTTCCTTTTTCAAAAACTTCCCTTCATCAAAAAACCCGTGCCGTGCTCTTCGCAAACTTTAAATTACACCGCAGAAGAATCAGCGAACAAAGTTCAAAGTCGTAAATTTTCACGTTCTTGTAATCATCCTCGGCGTTTCACCCCTCCCCTTAAAATTTTCAACACTTAAAAACTCATAAAAATATAATCACCGACACTTCCAATCTCCTTACCACAACCACCACATCCCACTAACTACCAAACAATCAATAATCCACACCCTGTGATAACTGTCACACTCTACTTCCGGCCATACCTAGTAAGAAGCAATACACTCCATCAACGAATTCCTCTAGAAACACCCTAAAAACCGACTAATATAAACCCCCTATTGTCGTCGCCTCTGACTAGAAACTCTGTGGGTACCGCAAGAAACGACAATCGTTTCACGACCCCGTGTGCACAGTGGCCGGAAACGAGGTTCCAGTACCGGGGTCCTTGGATTTTCAGCCTCGAAATGGAGAACGATGGGATCCGTGGTATCGCCCAGCAGAGCGTTGCCGGGCTGCACGCATCACGAGTTAACTTCCCTCAGGCAGCTCAAATAGAATCTGTATTACGCCGTGGCGGTACATACAGAGAGCGAGAGAGAGAGAGAGAGAGAGAGAGAGAGAGAGAGAGAGAGAGAGAGAAACCGAAAGAGAAGGATGAAAGAACGAACGTGGAAGGGAGACAAAGGACAGGATACAATGATAGACAGAGTACAATAAACGGGAGAAAGAGGGACAAAACGAGGGTGGGTGAACGGAAGAGAGAACACGAAGGGGTGGGAAGAAGAGAGAGAGAGATAAAGAGAGGGGGAAGGGGAATGGAGTGGTATAGACGGATGCGTATCTACCTGAGCGCACTATCGGTTCACAGAGCCGAGCAGAGAGCGAATATTGTGTTTACCCATACGCACGGCTTTGCGATGCAAATAATCTGGTATTATTGCACTTACTCCGCGTACCAAGCGAGGCTCTTCCTGTGACTACCTATCCAGGCCCCCGCCCCCATCCCTGCTTCTGCTTTCTTCCTTCCCTGTCCACGTTATATTTATTTACACGATATTCATTGTGTATCGAAACATCCTGTTATTGCTGCCTTTACTCCGTCAAGGATAGAGGGAATCTAGGGAACCACTACGCTACGCAAGCCGCTTCGATAATGCTTGGATATTCTCCCCCCTTCTACCACCGTTTCTCAAGGATTTTGGTACTTTATCGGATAGATATCTGCTGCTTTATCGATTTGTGATATTTCCTTTACTGTGTGGATCTGTGTGGTTCACGGGTATTGTACTCGGGTGTTTTGTACGGTATTACCAGTCATTGTAATGTCTTTTACCGTTTCTTTTATTCTGTTAGAGTGGATTTCGGTTCTGCGGCGGGGAAATTGTAGAGATGAACTTTGTCGGAGGAGTAATCGAATATTTGCTGTTTTACAATAATTATTGTATTTGATATTTGTTTCGTTTTCGGTATGGTAGACTCGATAATAATTCAATTGTTTACGTTTTTATTTGTCGATGACATTGGTATGGAAGCTGTAAATCCATCTCTGGATGGTCTTTTTAATCGTTTTATTTAAAAAATTGTAAACTGATTTGTTTACATTCTAATGTTTGTATTTTAACAATTTTATATGTATTCAGAATATATGGAACTTCCGAACGTTTTGTCGGGTGTTGGTAGAAATTTAAGAACACTCGTACCACATACAATTTTAAATTTAGACTTCTACGTTTTCTTGTTCATCTCTACGTTACGTTTCATACTATATTCCCACTAAAATCTATAGAACTAAAACAAGAGAGAACTTACATACTTATCTCTTCATTCGCGCAGGAGTAAATACATATAAAAGTACAAGGGGAATCAGACCCCCTATGGCCGGACATGTTTCACGGTAGCACAAAGTTCTCCACAAATGACTGTCTTACCCCTACGCTCTCATTCCACTTATCTCCAGGGAAAAAAGAAAGGAACACAGATAATCTATGAACAACACTTAACAATTATTAACACTTTCTATGTGCAATACAACAGTGGAATAATAAAATGATAAAAAGTAACACAAATTGCCTAATGTAATTACATTGTGTAATTGTGATTTGGATTTCGTAATTAGATTAAATTTTGCCCAACTCTGGTACCAGCCATTTCTACACAGTATCGATGGCGAAGGACACTTGTCTACCTATCTCACATAGAAAAGGCAATAAAGAACCAGCGTAAGAAACGCAGTAAGAAGTTATGAAGAAAAGTGTCCATAGTAATTGTCCTCCGATCTTGATAGCCTTTTTTGACTCCTTCCCCAGCAAGTGTAAGTAGTGTACGAAGAGGCTCCGGAAGATCCACACAGGCATCCCTTCTTTTTCACCTTCGTCTTCGCGATGTCTTTTGCCGATTCAGCGATTACCGCTTTAATCTGAGGTTCCGGCTTCGGTTAGGTTAGGTCGTCGAAGGGAGAAATAGACGGCCGGTATACTACTATAGAACCCTTAGGCGTTTCGCCATTCACTTCGCGACGGATTGCGGATTCCACGAGTTCCACCATTCGATTCGATTGCTTCTTATCCTGGACTCTCACGACACGTATTTACCTCTCCTGATTTTCTTCCCTCTCGATGTCCTTCGAATAAATCCCCGAACGGATGTTCCCCGAAGGTCCTGCGCCCATTTCACCATTCTTGTAAACATTTCTGAACTCTACGGTCCTCGAAATTATTCGAAATCAAAAATGTTTAGCCACTTCATTAGTTGTTTTTTTTACTTTTTAGATACAGTATTACCTCTGTATTGACCCAGATTGTTACTGGATCCACTTAACCCTTTAACGACCAGACACTTAAATATTTAAGTTTTTCTTTATATAAGAATTTTATTTTTTCTTTAATATAAAAATTTTAAACACTACCATTCATGCTTTATAATACAATTAAATAGATACACTGTAGCAGTACAACTAATGCAG